CCTAGTGTTCCCCCCCCCCTTGCCTTGATAACGGCTTCCATGCGATCTTTCATGGACCTTACAAGGGTCGCAACTGCCTCTTGGGGTATTTGTTCCCACTCTTCAAGTACCGCATCTTGGAGCTCTTGAAGAGTGGTTGGAGCTGGATCTCGAGCTCGCACGCGCCGATTTCGGTCATCCCAGAGATTTTCTATTGGGTTAAGGTCTGGACTTCGTGCTGGCCAATGCATAACAGGGATATCGACCTCCTGTAAATAATCCCGTACAATAGCCGCGGTGTGGCAACGAGCTTTATCATGAATCCATCACCGACATAACCAGCATACGGGACCACATGTTCCTCCAGGATTTCAGTAATTTACCGACCAGCATTTAATGACCCTTGCCCACGGCCACCCGGGAGTCCGGGAAACGCACACAAGTTCCGTTTTCCCGTCGATGGAAATGCCGCCCCAAAACATACTCAAGCCACCCCCGTATTCGACGGATTCTTCGAAGCAGGGTTGTGTGAACCTCTCCCCCTGTCTTTTGTAGACCCTTCTACGTCTGTCATTGCAGAAGAGACAGACCCTCGTCTCATCAGAGAAGAGTACGGTCCGCCACTGTTCTAGAGTCCACTCGCAATGATTGCGAGCAAACTCTAGGCGATCTCTGCAATGCTGTGCAGTAAGTTTTGGACCTTTAGCAGGTCTATAGGCTGTTAAACTCTTTTCGTGTAACCTTTTTCTTATCGTAGAAACACTCACAGATGTTCTCCGAGTTGATCGAAGCTGTTGTTGCAACTCAACAGCATTTGTAAAACGATGAAACGGTCATCTCTTTCTGATGTGCACCGTTTTCTTCCAGATCCCGGTTTTCTAACATAACCACCAGTCTGCTGAAAACGTTGGAACACCCGTCGAACTGAAAAACGGGACAGGTTCAACTGTCGAGCAACGTCACAGTGCCGCATCCCCGACTGCAATAGGGCAATCACTTGAGCGGCTTCTTCAGAGCTGGTGTCCATCTTTACTTGTTCTTACTTGGGTTACTTGTTCACGTGTGTTCACTGCAAAGTCTAAATTACGACTGACCCATATTTCATCCAGATCGACCCTTTTATACCCTTTTTAGGTGGTGTAACTAGCGTCCTTACTAACGAGCATTTGACAGTGTTTATTTTTAACGCTCTATAATGATAAATGTTTTAATGATTTCATGATTTTTTTTATTAATAATGTAAAGCTATTCAAATACCCATTTCAAACATACCAATATTTATATAAATTTAATTCGTTTCTAGTCATTACAGCCATTTTTCGCGCAAACTCAGAGAGGTGCGATTTTTGTGACGCTGAGTGTAGTTACCGCCCTATAGCACTATCATCAACTCTGTGCAAAATAATGGAGCATTTAAATGAAAACCGTCTAGAATGGTTTGTTGAAAATAAAGGTCTTTTGGCCAAAACACAGTTTGGATTGCGAAAGGGACTGAGCACGCTTGATAGCTTGTCTGTTTTTACCTCTGATATACGCTCGGCTTTTTCCCGAGAATAATCGGTTGGTGCTGTTTTTCTAGATGTATCATCAGCCTATGATAACGTTGTCCTCCCTTTACTCAAAGAAAAGATGCTTCTTTTGGATATTCCCCATAGAATTACTCGCATTATTTTTAATTTACTTTCAGTTATATATATGTATAAGAGTTCAAGGAAAACTGCTCCCTCCTAGACAGATATGGCGAGGCCTCCCACAAGGTTCTGTTTTAAGTCCTATTTTATTTAACATATACACCCATAATCTCGAACATTCTGTTAACTCCTTTTGTAAAGTCTTACAATATGCTGACGATCTAACTCTTTATTACTCTTCTAAGAACTTTACAGACTTGAGTTATCGTCTTAACTCTGCATTGTTCTACTTAAATAATTGGCTTACTAATAACGGTCTATCCTTATCACCTACAAAGAGTAGAGTAGTAATATCCTCTAGAAAAAGATTTTGTCCCAATATTTCAATCTCAGTACAAAATCAAATAATTCCGACAAGTGATAATGTTAAATTCCTAGGTGTTTTTCTGGATTCTAAGATGACAGGTATTCCTCATTTAACGTTCATTGCCCAAAAATGCGAAAAGAATGTAAATATCCTTCGTTCACTGACAGGTGTTTGGTGGGGATCTCATCCATATTGTTTAAAACTTTTATATAACGCTCTAATCCGTAGTCATTTTGACTACGGTACATTTCTTTTGGAACCTTGTAATAAACAAGCTCTTAACCTTTTAGATAAAATCCAACTCAAGTGCTTACGAATTATTTTAGGGGCCATGAAATCATCTCCATCAAATGCTCTACAAGTTGAATGTGGCGAACCTCCTCTTTACCTACGTAGACAGTATCTTGCCGATCGCTTTATATATCGAATATTTCAGCTATCTTCACACCCACTGCTTTCTAAACTGCATTCTTTAAACTCTGGTTTGAAGAATAACAACTACTGGACTCATAAAGACGTTCCCTGTATTCTTAAAAGCTACCAAAAGATACTTACCTTCAAATTTCCCATATTTCAAAGTATGATTAATCCTCTATTCGTACATCCATTTGAAGCTTTATGTTATCACCCTCCAGTTATATTAGATTTTGGTGTGACTAAAAATTCCCCTGTAGCCCAAGAAAAATTTCTAAGTATATTACGTGAAAAATGGGAAGGCTGGTTGACCCTTTTTACTGATGCATCCAAACTCTCCGAGAATAGTTATGTAGGTTCAGCTGTCTGGATACCAAAATATAAAATTATATTAAATTTTAAAAATTCAAATGTTACTTCAATTTTCACTGGTGAAGCGGTTGCTATTTTAGAAGCAATTTTATTTATAGAAGCACATAAAATTAACAAATGTATTGTTTTTACTGACTCATATAGTTCATTACAAAGCATTTCATCTAACCCGTTTCGAAGTAAATCGAAATTCCCAATTATTTTTGAAATAAAAGGTGCACTGTATAGGTGTTTTTGTCAAGGTCTTAACTTGAAACTTGCTTGGCTGCCAAGTCATAGTGGCATACGTGACAACGAATTTGTTGATTCCTTAGCAAAGCAAGCATCTACTTCTGGTACCCTCATGCATCATATAACATATACTCATGACCTTATTTCTCTTGCGAAAATCCATCAGATGGCAGATTGGAACTCTCTTTGGAAAAAAACTCAGAAGTCTATCGGTAAATATTATGCAGAACTCCAACCTGACATCCCCTCCAAACCATGGTTTTTTAAATTTAGAAATGGTTCCAAACATAGCACATCTGTCATATGTAGAATTAGATTGGGACACACTTGTACACCTGTATTTTTAGCAAAACTTAGGATTAAAGATAGCTCAATTTGTGAGTGTGGATTAGACGAAGGTACGATCGATCATAAATTTTTTAACTGCCCTAACCTCTCCGTTTCATTATACGATTATCTTCCTAATAACATTCCTCGTCCTGTAAATCTTAAGTCTTTGTTAAATTTAGTTTTCACTCCTTTTGTTCAAACTTTATTAGATTTCATATCCATTAATAACATTAAACTATAGTACCTTTGTCACTTACCTATATCCATATTATTATATTAGCAATAATTTTGTAAAAATATTATAATGTTAATTCATTCGAAAATAACTACATAGGTAAGTAAGTTCGTAACATAAAGTTAAACGGAAACTAGTAAATACACTGTGTGACTCTCATGAAATACTTGACGCTGGCAGAATCCATTGGAAGTTGCCAAACTAAGAAAAAAAAAAAAATACTTTTTCTTAGGAAGTCCCGCCTCTTAAACGTAGTGGTTATATTCATTTCCTGTATATACTTATTATACTCTTTGGTTATATTCTCTTTGAATCAGAAATTGCCAAACTAGGAAAAAAAATCAATTTTAATAAAGCTATAGAAAACCTTTAGCTTGCTACTAGAGATGAGACATACTCGCAAAATTTCATACCAGGGCTTCTAAGTACGAGTATGGAAAAATACCAGGGTCGAAAACCAGGTTTTATAAATACTGGAAAGTATTTGTTAATGTCAATATATATATGAATGCCTAATTTGATTCGGGCCAAAATTAATACTGTACCTTTTTAAATTTTTTTGGTAACGAAATGAAATCTTTCTTTCCTACTTTTCGGCTTTAATAAATAAAAGTTTTAAAACTGTCTCTAAATTCAATATACACGCGAAATAACTATTTAAAAATTAGGTCACGGTCAGTAGGTTACGTAATCAGTTCACAATAATAATTGAATTTACAAGAAATCGAAACAAAACTTTTACTTCCCCGAATATAAACATAATTCTTATTACTTACTAGCTACTTACGCGACGTGTCCAGCCGCGGTGTCAGTTTGAAAATACTTGCAAAGAGTATAGTAATATATAAGGAAGAATACTTGCATAGGAATTCGACCCGCTTTCCATGTTAGGCTATTATGACTAAGGAGCAAATTCGTATAAATAAAAAAAATACTTTCAAGTTCAAAGTATTTTTAATTCACAAATACGATTGAGTTTCTTATCACTATTGAGATATGGATCATTTTCCTATGCAAGTATTCTCATACTTGCAAGTATTTTTTGGTCGTAAAAGGGCGCCGTACTTTAAAGTTAAAACCTGGTAGCGTAAATACGTCTCATTGCGACGCGAGGGACGTGTCCAGCCGTGGTGTCAAAATTTGAAAATACTTGCATAGGAATTTCACCCGTATTCCATGTTATCCTACTATGAATAAGGAGCAAAGTCGTATAAATAAAAAAAAAATACTTTGAAGTACTAAGTATTTTTCGTTAACAAATACGATTGAGTTCCTTACTACTATTGAGATATGGATGATTTTCCTATGCAAGTATTTTCATACTTGCAAGTATTTTTTGCTCGTACCAGGGCGCCGTACTTTGAAGTGAATACCTGGTTTTAAAACCTGGTAGCGTAAATACGTCTCATCTTTACTTGCTACATATTATATATTTATCTATGTAGAAAACAGCAATGGCCTTTAGTGAAGGTGAAGTTTGTAGAATTTGTTTAAGCGTTAATATACGCATGTTTGCACTAAAGGAGACTGGCCTCCAAAATTTGTATAAGACATTGACGAACAGTTTTGTAAGTTTTTTAATATTTATTTATTGCTAAATGAAGTTGCGGTAATTTGTTGTTATCACTGGAGAAATACATTATGATGCCCGATATATGTTCTAAGATGTAGCGTTAAATATAGTGACAAATACAACCAGAACCTGAAAAATAACAATTATCAATCAATCAATCAGTCTTTATTTGCCAACCAAGTGTACATTAATGGTCTTAGAATAATAAAAATTTGTCTCAACTTAGTAGCCTTTTTCAGGCATTGCAAATTTGAGAAAGGTAGATAAAATAAGTTATTAAATATAAACATTATAGAGTAAAAACATTAAAGAATGAATTAATAATATAGTAGGTAATTTAACAGTATTAAATTGTGCAAAATATTAAGGCATTTATGACATTTTATATCAACACAATATTTATTCTTCTACTGATATCTGATACTGTCCATAGTATTTTTTGTGTATCAAAACCACTTTTTCCTTTTTTTATGTATTTCTGTTGACTTAATGTTTAGGTATATTAGTTCTGTTATTTGTGTTAAAGATATGCAATTTGTTATTCGTGTTTTGCTTCAATGTATTCTTTAACTGAGTAGAAACATTTTTCTGTTAAGAATGTTTTTAGTTTATTAATGAAAAGTGTAATCCTATTTTCAGTTTTTATGTGGATAGGTAATTTATTGTATATATTTTTACAGCCATGTAGTATGGACTCTGGTTTAGTATTTTAATTCTTGATGGTGGTAGGTATAGTCTGTCTCTGTGGTGTGAGTTTATATTGTGATTGTCTTTTACTTTTGGGAAGTGATTTATGTTCTTGAATACAAATATGCAAATGTCAAATATGTATAATGATGGTAGTGTGAGAATGTTATTTTTAATGAAATAGGGTTTGCAACTGTCAAGATTTTCAATTTGGCCGATGATTCTTATACATTTCTTTTGCAGTATAAATAGATCCTGAAAGTGTACACTATTTCCCCACAACATAATGCCGTATCTTAACCAGGAGTATGTATATGTGTAGTATGCCGACAGTGCGGTTTTTTCGTTTGTGCTGCATTTAAGTTGGAATAGAGCGTATGTGAATTGAGATTTTTAATATGTTCGATGTGTGGTTTCCAGTTGACGTGCGTGTCTATAGTTATACCAAGTAATTTGAATGTATTTACGGTTTCTAGTTGTGCGTTGTTGTATGTTGTGTCAATGTTTATGGGGGTGTTTTTGTATGTTCTAAATTGGATGGTTTTTGTTTTGTTATAGTTAATTTCTAAGTTATGGTCATTGAGCCAGTGATTTACTGTGTCTAGAGTTTCTCGAAGTATTTGTGTTGAGTTTTTGGTTTTGTCATATGCAATTAATATTGATATATCATCAGCGAATAAGACGGGCAATGTTTGTTCTTTATTTAGTACTTTTGGCAAGTCGTTAATGTAGATCAGAAACAGCACACAATCTAACATGCTGCCCTGTGGAATTGAGCATTTTATGCTCCTTTTCTCAGATCTCAATATTTTAATCTCATTTGTGTTGGAGTCGAAATGGTCAATTTGCACTATTTGTGATCTATTTTCCAAATATGATTTAATCCATGTGTAAGCTGGACCGCGAATACCAGAACCGTGTAGTTTATGTAAGAGAATGTCATACAGTACTTTATCATATGCTTTTGTCATGTCAAGTAATACTCCCAGTACATGTTTCTTATCATTTATATGTTTTAGAGCAGTCTGGATTTACTTATATACTGCTAGTGTAGTTGATCTTGATTTCCTAAAGCTGTTTTGGCTGTCATTGAGGATGTTATATTTTTCTAAACAATCATATAATCTGGTACACATTGTTTTTTCAAACACTTTCGAAAACGTGGGTAATAGAGCTATAGGTCTATAGTTACTAGGGGTGTAAGTGTCGCCCTTTTTGTGTATTGGTTTTATCAATGATATTTTAAGGGGGTCTGGAAATTGTCCATCTCGGAGACTGATTCACTAGGAATGTGAGCGGTATTGACAGTTTTTCTGCACATTGTTTTAGTAAAATTGGAGGGATCTCATCTATGCCGTAGCTGTGTGTATTTTTAATTGAGCGGATTATGTCGATTATTTCTTTTCTGTCTACAGGCCGCAAGTACATGGAACACATTTGTGAGTTTACGACGGGTCGACCTAGCGCGTTGTTTTTGTTGGTGTTATTTGTGTCCATACCGACAGTAGCAAAATACTCACTGAAATTTTTGCAAATAGTTGTTGGGCATTTTATAATGTGGTTGTTAATTTTTAATGAAATATTTTGTGGAGGGAGTCTTTTTTTTGGTTTACCTGTTTTTCCTCTTATGATATGCCACATTGTTTTTGTTTTATTGTCGGAGTTTTCCATTTGTTTACTAAATTCGAGTTTTTTAGATATTTTTACACTACGTTTTAGAGTTAGGCTATATTTTTTATAAAATTTACGTAATATGTCATTGTCAGTCACATTAAGGAAGGCCCTCAATTTTCTTTTGTGTGCACATGATATTTTAAGACCGGTGGTGAGCCACCCTTTTTTTGGTTTATTATTTATTTTTAACTTTTGCATCGGTATATGTATGTTAAGTAATTTAGTCAGTATACTGATAAATAAATCATAATTTGTGCTTAAATTGTTATGTGTGTTAATTATTTCGTGCCATTGTATGTTATTTAATGATGTGTTAAAATTAAATATGTTTTTTTTTCGTGAATAATCGTTTTTGTATGTACCACGTTATATTTTTATTATGATGAAACTGTTTCGATTTTATTTTTAATGTAATACCCTTATGATCGGAGAGGCCGTAGTCTTGGACGCTGGCTTTACTAATAAGGGGCATGTAGTTTATGAAGAGTAAATCAATGCAGGTCGAGGAACTTTTTGATACTCGTGTTGGTTCTTTAATAATCTGTTTGAGATTGTTTGAATACATTAAGTTAATAAGATCCTCCGTCTGTTTATTTTTGTTTAATATGTTTATATTGAAGTCACCTCCTATTATTATATATTTATTTTTATGTTTGGTGTTTAATTTGTATAACACTTTTTCTAGCTGTTGGAAAAATATATTAATATGTCGGTCTGCTCTATATAAACCTATGAAAATACAATTTAATCTCGGTATTTCTAAGGCACAAAATTCTATTATAAATTCTATAGTGCAATCGTTTATATCTTGCCTCTTGATACATTTTAAATTATCTTTAATAATTGCACAAACACCTCCCCCTTCATGTGTTTCACGACAAAAGGTGGAGACCATTCTGTATCCAGGAAATGAATTTATTGTATCCTGGGTCACACTAAAATCAGTATTATCATTTAAGTAAAGCCTGGTAGGATATACTTGGGTACGCAAGGAGCGGCATGTTGCGCAACATGTCTCTCAACTAATACGTGGAATGTCCCGAGATATGTCACGGAACTTTTTGCAGGCCACACTAGTCAGTAGTGAGTGCTTATAGAAATGTCTCCCAAAGAGGTTGTGGCGATTAGTGCTGTGTACGTAGTGCTTATTGCGGGAGTGAAACGTAAGCGAAAGAAAAGATGGTGGATTCAGAATTCCTTACTACAATGAGAAGGAAGAGGAATTGATATTTTAAGTGATCTCCAAATGTCTGACGGATCTTTTGTGAATTTTACTCGAATGGCAACATCTGATTTTGAAACGTTAAACAAATGATCGGACCTTCCATAACCAAACAGGATACTATACTATGGAATGCTGTTGCCCTCATATCAGTATCAGACTTGCCATTGCATTAAGATACTTGTTGACTAGAGTTTTTTATGCTTCTTTGTCGCACACTTTTTGAGTGTTGAAACAACTGATCGGCAGAATAGCACCAGAAGTTAGTGGTTAGAAGTATCCCATAACAAAACACGACTCTGGTAAAGTTCAAGAAGTAAAAGCACGGTTTAATTTCCCCACACAACTGACATGTTGCAAGTAAAGTTGTACACACAACTACACCCGGTAACAAATGACGTGACACTGACGCCGGACACGTGCACTCTCTCTCGGAGAGGGAACAAGCAACATGTCCCATGTCACTTACAATGTCTGGGTCACTGTGCAATATAGCATCGTTATGTAGATTGAGTGTTCCACATCATCATGCGGGACAAAATGGCCCCTAGTGTATCTGGGTCTTAGTTTAGTATAGTTTACGACGGGCTGATTTCCGCAAGTCCACGTCTATGTGCGTATTTTGCGTGTGGGCAGGAATAATATGCTTATTCGAGCCATGAGATCACCCCGAAGAAGCTCAACAGTCCTTTGATGTTGCATGCAACTTTGGGGCCTGTACGTAGCGACCCCCGGTCATTTCAATATCACATGGGCCGCCGTTTCTTCTTCCCCCAGACATGCCCTGCACAGGCGACTATCTGTAACACCTATAGTAAATAAATGCTTGTTAAAGTTGCCATGTCCTGTGATAGCACTTGTTATATCCTGGTCTGCGGCTTGTTCAGTCTCATTAGATTTTTGGTTAAACGACTGTTTATTTCAGGCAGGGCCTCCCTAGCTTGTCTACAGTCTACTAGATTTTTCCAAAGCTGAGCGTGTAGGTTAGTGAAGTGTCAAATATCTGGGTCTTAATTGTACTACATTCTCCTTCCATTCCTTCCATGCAATCCGCACTGCTGCATTGATTTTGTTCCTGGTGTCTGTTCTAGTACATATTACTTCAATGACTATTATTGTGATTTTCTATCAAGAAATTAACATTTACCCTGGTTTGGTTGTTCAGCCAATTAAAACAGTTTTATCGGACTATTAAAATGAGAGAATAGAGTAGAATGAATTATTATCATTATTTTATATGTGGTAGAGCCGGACTGCAGCTATATTATGGTTGTATCATGGATGGTTCGACTCGACCGGGGTGGTAATACACTTTCACAGAATGTGTAGTACCACCCACCACCCTGTGTTTTGTTTCAATATCCTCCTACCACAAGCATTATCAGTTTACTTAGAGTGATGTTCTTAGTGATGATAGCAGTTTGAAGTTAATGTAGGTAATGTAGTTGATGGATGTAGGTGGCTTGGAACTGTAGGAGTTTCTTTCTGCCTAGATATCATCCTCTTACCATTTTCTGGCACCAAGCAGCAGTATGTGTCCCAGTCTGAAGGACATCGAGAGCCAGGCTGTGATGCATTACATCTTAGTCTTCAGAGGTAACATTGCATCTATAGCCATTGCTTGAAGTTCGTTGCAGGTGCCCATGATGCCCATTAGTCACTTACTAGATGGTAAGTTTATTTGTCACTTCAATATTATAAAAAATGATGTTGACAAATTAAAATGTGGTAGCCAATAATCTTTATTACAAACTTATATACAGTAGAACGCTGATTATCCAAATTAATTGGGACCGGGGTCGATTCGGATAATCGAAAATTCGGATAATCGGACATAGACTGGTATGTAATATAGAAAAACGAACTGTCACACATAGAATAAACTTTATTAAGTTTATAAATGGTTTTACACTTTATAAAGTTTCATAAAGAGTAAAACCAGCTACACCCATTTTTTCACTGAACATTCGCGCCTTTTCACATAAAAACGATCCTGAAATAGGTTGTGCAATAGATCATTGCTGCAGAAACCACGTCAACACAGCATTCTCAAGATGTTCATCTTTTGCCTTTTTCATTACTTTTCGCGACGAACATCCATCACCACTTTCCAACGCGGTCACAAAGCTTACAATGTTTTCACTGTTATTTTTAATATAATATTTATTGTATTTTTGCTGTTTTCAGCATCTTCTTAAAAAACTGCGGTTGCCAACCCGCTCGCCAAGCGTGGCAACTATGGCAAATACTCCCCAAATGGATAAAGTTACTAAGAGACGGCCCCCAGTCCCCGGCGGCCCCGCTATTACTGGCTACGGTGGCAACCATGGTAACGGCAGGGCAGGGGGTGCTAAGAATCTCCGGTGGAGGTTCGGTATTGCCACCTACGACGACTCGACCTGGCAACATACAACGCACGCACCCTGAGGACTGATGAGAAGATTGTGAAGCTGGAAGAAGAGATAGACAAGTTACGCTGGCATAATATAGGATTATCCTAAGTCCGAAGAGAGGGGGAGGAAACGGTAATCCTCGAATCCGGCAACTTGCTCTATTACCGGGAGGACGACCATCTGTCCCAAGGAGGTGTCGGATTTATCGTCCACAAGTCTCTCGTTAACAACGTTGTAAAGATCGAGAGTGTGTCGACGAGGGTTGCGTTCCGTATACTCAGAATCACCAAACGGTATTCGCTGAAGGTCATACAGGTTTACGCACCAACCTCCGCACACCCCGATGAGGAGGTGGAGGAAATGTATGAGGATATCTCTAGAGCCATGCATTCCTCCAAAACCCAATATACGGTTTTAATGGGAGACTTCAATGCAAAACTAGGCACAAGAGAGAATGGTGAGCAGAAAGTAGGGAAATTTGGAATAGGGCAACGGAACCCAAGGGGCAGCAGCTGGCCGACTTCATGGAGAAAGAGGGACTCTTTATGATGAACTCTTGCTTCCAGAAGCGGCCCCACAAGAAGTGGATTTGGTCGAGCCCCGACGGTTCGACAAAAAATGAGATTGACTTCATTATGACGACCAGACGACAACTGTTCAGTGATGTCTCAGTGATCGCGAGGGTGAAAACCGGCAGCGATCACCGAATGGTTAGAGGCACACTGAACCTAAACGTTAAGTTGGAGAGGTCTCTTCTAATGAAGTCAACGCTCCGTCCCCCTCGTGCTCTAATCCAAAGTCCCGAAACCTTTCAGCTCGAGTTACAAAACCGTTTTCAGTGCCTAAAAGACTGCAATGAAGTGGACGATATGCATGACAAGCTCGTGGAAACTGTCCATGCGGCCGGAGCTAAGTTCTGCAAGACCCGCCGCAGAAGAACACAAAACCTCTCTGATCACACTCACAGAGGCAACTGTCAAAGCTGAAGACGTGTGGCAGCATCGTTTCCGGGGCACCTGAGATTTTGAGTGAGATTGATAGATTCTATGGACAGCTGTACACGTCATCGTTGGAGCCACACGCAAGTGTGAGTAACGATCCAAGAGCGAGTCTTATCCGACATTATTCCGATGATATCCCGGACGTCAGTCTGAGCGAGATTAGAATGGCTCTCCAGCACCTTAGAAACGGCAAGGCCCCAGGCGAGGATGGAATTACAGCGGAGCTTCTGAAAGCGGGTGGAAAACCGGTACTTGAAGTCCTCCAGAAGCTCTTTAATTCCGTCCTCCATGGTGGCATTACACCGGAGGCGTGGAGCAGAAGTGCGGTGGTCTTGTTCTTCAAGAAAGGAGACAACGCTCTCTTGAAGAACTACAGACCGATTTCCCTTCTGAGCCGCGTTTACGTGCTGTTTTTGAGAGTCATTACGAATCGTCACGCGCGCAGACTTAACGACTTCCAGCCTCCCGAACAAGCCGGTTTCCGAAAAGGCTTTAGCACCATAGACCACATACATACCCTTCGGCAAATTGTACAGAAGTCAGAGGAGTACATTTTGCCACTATGTCTGGCGTATGTGGACTATGAGAAAGCCTTTTTTCTTTCTGTCGAAATTTGGGCGGTGCTGCAGTCCCTTCAGTAGTGCCAAGTTGACTGTCGGTATATCAAAGTGCTGAAGTGCTTGTACAGTGGGGCTACGATGGCTATCCGAGTACAGAACCAGAGTACGAAACCTATCCAATTGCAGAGAGGTGTAAGACAGGGTGACGTCATATCCCCGAAACTCTTCACCGCTGCATTGGAAGACGTTTTCAAGCTTCTGGACTGGAAAGGATACGGTATCAACATCAATGGCGAGTACATCACTCACCTTCGATTTGCCGACGATATAGTCCTTATGGCAGAATCGCTGGAGGACCTAAGCACTATGCTCAATGACCTCAATAGTGTCTCCCAACGGATAGGTCTTAAGATGAACATGGACAAAACAAAGATTATGTTTAATGTCCATGTCACACCTATGCCGGTAGTTGTTGGGAGCACTAAGCTCGAAGTTGTTGACGAGTATGTTTACCTGGGACAAATAGTCCGACTAGGTAAGTCCAACTTCGACCGAGAGGTCAATCGACGGATTCAACTCGGTTGGGCAGCGTTCGGAAAATTACGGCACATCTTCTCGTCAGGTATACCTCAAAACTTGAAAACCAGACTGTACAACCAGTGTGTGTTGCCAGTGATGACATACGGAACCGAGACGTGGTCCTTCACTGCTGGCCGGATGAGGAAGCTCAAGGTCGTTCAGCGAGCTATGGAGAGGGCTGTGCTCGGAGTTTCTCTGCGTGATAAACTTAGAAATGAGGATATCCGCAGTTGAACCAGAGTTACCGACATAGCCCAACGGATTAGTAAGCTGAAGCGGCAATGGGCCGGCCATATAGCTCGAAGAACCGACAACCGATGGGGGAAAAAAGGTTCTCGAGTGGCAGCCTCGTACCGGCAGGCGAAGTATTGGGCGTCCCCCCACTAGATGGAGTGACGACCTGGTAAGATATGCAGGAAGTCGATGGATGCAGGTGGTTCAGGACCGTGCTTTGTGGCATTCCTTGGGGGAAGCCTATGTTCAGCAGTGGACTTGTGAAGGGCTATAATGATGAATGATGATTTTTAATATCAGTTAACCAAGAATTGTATAAGTAATCTAAGTAATGTTACTTACTGTACTTGGTTATAATTTTTTATATTAAGCTTAGGACCGATTCGGATAATTGGCGATTCGGATAATCGGCGTTCGAATAATCGGCGTTCTACTGTATTTGAATACTATTTCATATTTATGAAGATTTTCATATTTTCAGTTGGATGAGATTGAGGGGCCCATAATTGTCTGTTTCACCTGTCATGCAAGACTCATTCGTTGCAGAAGGTTACAACAACAGGCTATTGAGTCAAATGTGGTTCTGGAGCAGTTGCTTTCAGGAGGATCCATGGTATTATCCAATCCATCCATTAAAACCTATAAAAGTCCACTGCTGAACATAGTTTCACTCATAGATTGCTTCATAGGAGGGATTTTGCCAAATTTGCCACACTTGGCAAATTGGCAACCGTAGTTTATATTAGTCTAAGTTGTCATCAGGAAGATGCGGCCGCCCTACTTCTGTTTCTGTTTCCTTCTGTTGCCTCTTACGACACCCATCCCGTGGATAGGTATATAGGATAGTGCAGAGGTCGGCAACCTGCGGCTCGCGAGCCACATGCGGCTCTTTGGATGTGAAGCTGCGGCTCTTTTTTTTGTTTGTTTATAGGATCGCGTGACAAACGAGCACACAGTCCACCTGATGGTAAGTGGTTACTGTGACCCATAGACATCTACATCTATCCTCAATAAAGACTCAAGATGCAGATGCGTTGTCACCCGTGAGGACTAAGATGGAATGCCTCTTTGCCAGTAAAAAGGGTCTCCGGTTCTCTACACTCACCATACGAAACAGCAGCGCTAAGCTTCTATTTTACGCTGGTTTTCTGTGAGAGCGTGGTCCTTCCCCGTTCGAGCCGACCCATTCGTGCTACAACCATAATATAGCTGCAGCATGGCTCTACTACGTAGAAAACCACGCTCTTTAGTTTCATACGCAAATATTATTTATTTTATAAAAAGAAAAAAATATAAATCGATCCATACTGAGCCATTTGGGGTTGATACTGGATCTCTAGAAATGCAATTGATCGATTTAAAAAGTAAAGCTTTGTGGAGTTGAAAATTTACAGAGTTGATAAGGAAGTTGAAAAAGTTGGAGGTACAGAGATGTATGTACGTAACGCAACAAAAATGAACAGCTTTAAAAGAAAGGCTGCGAGTTGAGTTATATTCGACGCATGGAATAGTCTTCCAGATTGCTATAGTGAGGTGAAGAAGTTGGCATTTGGAGTGCTATCTTCGGATTGACATATTCGTGCGAGCAAGCGTTCTCTTGCATGAATATAATTAAAAGTAAAGTAAGAAGCCAACTAACAAATGAAAATTCAGATTCGTGTTTGAAACTTAAAACAACAAATTATGAGCCAAATTTATCCAAACTTTCTAAAATCATGCAAAGCCAAAACTCCTATAGAATTTGTTTGCTCAATTGTTTGTACTTGAAGTATAAGTTAGTGTTGTAAGACTTACAATATAAATAAATGTTTGTTTTAATTTTTTATTTAAAAAGTGATTATCTTATAATACCATATATATATATATATATATATATATATATATATATATATATATATATATATATATATATATATATATATATATATATATATATATATATATATATATATATAAAAGGTTGCCGACCCTGTGATAGTGGATATTCTTACACCGTCATTGCACAATCCACTTTTCTATGCTGCTTCCCATTGCTATATGGGAGAATATTTCTAGTGCAAAGTTAAGTTTGTCCTTCAATCCAACTTACTTTTGTTAGAGTAATAGTACTTATTTTTACAAAAACAATTATCAAACTGTTTATACTGTTATATATTACCCTATTGTATATAAACAAATCTCAATAAACAAAGATAAATCTTTGTCAATTTACAGCTTTCGTGAATCTTAATCCAAAAGTTGTTGAGACTCGATTCTCGGGATAGATGAACTATGTACATTCTTATTTGAGTTTACGCTGAACCCTCACTTTTGTCCGGTGTTTATTATTATTTGAAGTTGTTGTCAGGAAGATGCTGCCCCCTGATCTCCTGTTTCAGTTTCCCTCTGCCCCTTTTTACGACATCTGCGGGATGGCAGGGGTAGTATGGGTTCTCCTACACCACCACTATAGTGGCTTTTTCTCTTATTTGAAAAAATTATTTCCTTTCAGTCAATACCAAAACCGCATAAGGTTAGGGGTGAGATTAAATTCACACCAATTTATCATATAGATATCTGGCCTGTAGAGTGTGATATAGACAATGATTGCAAGGACGAAATTTTTTGCCTTGATGCCGTTAAAGTTGAGGAGGAGATTTTCGAATATGAGAATTCCAAATTTGAAGAAAATGAGAATCATGAAACAGGTAAGATATACCCCTTTTCTTGATATTATTAAAATAAGGTACAATATACCTTATGGCAAGTGGTTACTGTAGCCCGTAGACACAAAATAAAGAGGGCTTCGTGTGTAATGTACTGATTTACTAATTTGCCTTTGTCTAAATTCAAGTGCATGTCAAAAGCACTCTTATTAATACATTAAAAAAATATTTTTACCCTGTCAGCTAGTATGTGTCACTAAGATACATACTGGTAAGCAACCAATTATCTTTGCCATCTTCTTAGTGTCAGTACTAGGTGGTGTGACTCCATGTTTGCCTAGGAGTTGATCTATTTGTGCCTGCCCAGATGGACTCCTCCCTCCTCCTCTTACTTATTTCTGCCGTCAAATAACAGTGCGTGCGCTGCTGTGTTCCATTCTGATGGGTATAGAGTCAGAATAATCACAGGCTGTGGGTCATTCCATTTTAGTTGTGGTAGAGCCATGCTGCAGCTATATTAGTAGTATAGTTATAGCACGAATGGGTCGGCTCGACCGGGGAAGGACCACGCTCTCACAGAATACCAGCGTAAAATAGCAGCTTAACACTGCTGTGTTTCATATGGTGATTGTAGAGAACCAGATACCCTTTTTACTGGAAAAGAGGCATTCCATCGTAGTCCTCATAGATGACAATACATCTGCATTTTGATTCTTTATTAAGGACAGATGTAGATGTCTATGGGTCACAGCGACCATTTACCATCGTGTGGACTGTGTGCTCGTTTGTCATCCTATCCTATAAAAATTAAAATGAAAAGATGAGCGCATTGCATCATTAAATCTTCATCATTACAGCCTTCACAATTCCACTGCTGAACTTAGGTCTCACCCACGGAATGCCACAAAGCACAGGAATCCATCGCCTTCCTGCATTTCTTACCAGGTCATCATTCCATCTAATGGAGGGCCGCCCTACACTTTGACTACTGGTACGAGGCTGCCACTCGTAAAACTTCCTCATTCATTGTCATTTCTTCGAGCTATATGGCCGGAATTTCAAATTTCAAAGAATTAATTCAGCATTTGAAACCATGATGTTGAAAGTAACTACAACAGAAGTGAGACGACGGGCCCGTGCTTGTGTTAGGAATTGCATCAATTATTTTGAGCATCAACAAATAAATAATTAGAATTTTTATTAGTCTGCCTAAAAATTTAAATTTTCTATTTCAATCTGGTTTTAGGGGACAATTGAAAAATTTGTAACAAATGCGTGTAAGTTATACCTCAAATGAAAGAGTAATAACCAAGCATGTTTTCAAAAAAGTTTCTAACAATAAATTAAAGTACCATCAGTTTTTTTTAACGTAGTGTCAAAAATGTTTATTATTTAAAATGTTAATTATGTTTCTTTAAATCGTAGAAAATTTTCGTGAACTTAGTGTCTGTACAAAAATATGTATAGTGATGACACAGATGCTGAGACTATGTTTTCTTAGATTTCTTTTCATTACTTAATGAAAAAAAAAAACAGACGTTAACTAAATTGGCAATTATTAGCAATTAACTGTAAAATTTTTAGTTTTATCACCAAAAACAAAAAGTATCTAAAGTCAGACTGTCTAAAATAACTATGGCCTAAATGATCTTCTCCAATCAACAAGTCAATCTTCCAATCATTCTGTATAATGCTTGTCCCGTGTGCGATTCGAAGCATCTATTATTAGATTAATGTAGGTAATTGTAACATGGTGAGAAGAACGTCATCATTATCATTCGAATTTAGTTTCTCTACCATTCTTTCCCTCCAAAAATGAATATGAGAGACATTATTAAAAGTAAAATACTTTATATCTAGCAACATTGTATAACTATGTAATTTTATAATTTTTCTATTTCTTCCTGGTTGACTGATAGAGAATGCGTTTAAGGTGTCTTACAATAAAAAGTTTTACTTATAATAAATTAAATGTTCAATTCGTGTGTATTTCAGAACCATACATCATACCGACAAATCATTTTTCAAAAGCGTCTGAGAGCAAGATTAAATCAAATTCTACTGATTGTAACATAAACGATGTTCGTAAAGAAAACCTCGATTTAGAAAGCCCTACTATTAAATCAAAGCCTAAAGTCAAAAAAGATAATCAACCAATTAATAAAAAAGGAAAGCGTCCTGCAAAGATTATGAAAAAGAAAATATTGAAACAAAAGAGTGTAAATATACTTACGAAAAAAACGTCAGGGGCATCAACAAAATACAATTTTGAATGTGATGGTTCTAGCAAAAAATTTTCAACAAAAGACATTCTCGCCAAACACATTTCATACAGTCATAACACGCAAAAGAACTCAGTCACCACTGCAGTTCGGACACAAGTTGAACAAACTCCAGTACCACAACTAACGGAAACATTTAATTGTGATATTTGCGAATTTAAAACATCTCAAAAACGTTGCATTTTGGCACATCTTAACGCGCACGTCGCTGAACAAGTGTACTGTTGTAATAATTGTGATTATAAATGTGTTAGAAAAGATCGTTTGCAAACACATATGAAAATACATACTGGGGAAAAACATTTTTGGTGTCATATCTGTAAATATCAATGTATTCACAAAAGTAGTTTGCAAACACATATGAGAATACATACTGGAGAAAAACCTTTTTCGTGTCATATCTGTAAATATCAATGTATTCAAAAAAGTAGTTTGCAAACACATATGAAAATACATACTGGAGAAAAACCTTTTTCGTGTCATATCTGTAAATATCAATGTATTCGAAAAAGTAATTTGCAAGCACATATGAAAATACATACTGGAGAAAAACCTTTTTCGTGTCATATCTGTAAATATCAATGTATTCACAAAAGTAGTTTGCAAACACATATGAAAATACATACTGGAGAAAAACCTTTTTCGTGTCATATCTGTAAATATCAATGTACTTACAAAAGTAGTTTGCTAACACATATGAAAATACATACTGGAGAAAAACCTTTTTCATGTAATATCTGTGACTATAAATGTATTCGTAAATGTCATTTGCAAAGGCATATGAAAACACATACTTGAGCAGAACCTTTTTTGTGAGAGATCTGGTAAAATATGTGCAATATTATGTAAACGTGTTTTATATAAATATAAAAGTATACTAGATAAAAATCCATTTGTCATGAGTTCCTTATGTAACTGTAGAATGAGTAGAAAAACATTTCCGTATCATATGTGCTAATTGAAACTGCATTTATTCTGGAAAAGCTAATTCAAAAACCAAAGAAGCAATCAAGTGAAATCGACCAGACCTTCATGATTTTTTTTTAAATTTTATTTAAATCATACTAGTTTGTTTTTATTTATTCGTTTCGACATTTATCTTTACCGTTACAGCCTATAAAAGTCCGCTGCTGAATATAGGCCTCCCCCGCGGATTGGCTCATAGGGGGGATATTTGCCATAGTTGCCTCCGTCCTCCGTTATTTCCTCCGTCGCCTAGATATAGTATATAGATATAGATATAAGAATATCCACTAGCCCTTATCATCCCGTGTGTGTCTTAGAGGCGACAGAAAGAAACAAATCAGAAGACGTGCCGCACCGTATTCCTAAGAAAAAAAAAACTTTGTTGCCAACCCGCTTGCCAAGCGTGGCAACTATGACAAATATCCCCCCCTATGAGGCAATCTATGGATGAGGCCTATGTTCAGCATCAGCAGTTGACTTTAATAGGCTCTCTAACAAGAACACAATAAACGTCGAAACGAAAAAAGGAAAAACATTAGCAATCAATTAAATAAAATAAAAAAACATGGTTTGACACTCACTTTGGCACAAAATTATAACATTCATTGATTATTGATATAATAATGTTGTTTTAATACTCATCAATTGTTAAAACGGTAAACAACCAGCAAAAATATTTTTATCGTAACTGCAACGCCATTACAAAGTTACGTCGTCAGTTCAATCGCGACGTGTCAGGAACGCATTCTCTGAACGGCCGAACTATACCTATTTATATTTCACAAAATGTTTTGCTGGTAAAATAAAAAACGAGGACACGGAGTATATAATGGCTGCTTTATTTTTCATATAATTATTACCTTTAATATTTATAAAACAGAATCGGAAACAAACAAAAAAACAAAATCATTTAATCTATATTGATATAATAAAGTGGAAGAGTTATTTTGTATGTTTTTTTTTTGTTTGTTTAAACACGCTAATCTCTGGAACTACCAGTTCAAATTTAAAATTTTTGTATATGATAGCCAGATTCATGAGGAATAGTATAGGCTATCTAGCATATAACTATCAGCTAACCTTATATATTGATTTTTATTAAGCAAGTCGGAAGAAAAGGCGCTCTCTAACTGCTTTATCCACGTGCGCTAGCGTAACATTTAGTATTACGTAAATACAATGTTCTACAAAAATATTGGTCTTTGCTCCATCTAAAAAAAAGTCTCCGATATCATATGTCTGTGGCGGCGCTGTCGTCGCGCCACAAGCGAAACATATCGAAGCCTAAATCGCACTAACAAAGTTCCAAACTAAAAGCAGCATATATAGAATAGCTCCGAACTTACCAATCGGAGCGTTGGCCTCTCCCCGGGCAGAACACATTGCCCGGCGGGAGATCTACCCTTTTCCTTCCACCCGCCACATGCCTATTTCTTACACATAAGGCACAATAAGTTATTTTGTGAAAAAAATTATTGAAAATGAAAAAGTAATTTATGAGCGTTATTATTAGGCATGGCATAGTGTTGGGTAGGACACGACATAAAGTAGAGTTTGTAAGAGTAGCCTCTTTTTTGTACTGAGCCAGTACAATGTCCCACTTCAAATGAGGTGAGGCTAACGAGGTTTGGTATTTGGGCGAGGCGTGCTGAAGCCCGACGAAACGTTTGAAGTTACGAGTATAAATATGACATTTGACGTTATTGCCGTACAGTTACAATCTGTACTCTGATTGAAGACATTGACTATGAAACGATACATACACGATTATATTGTTTGTAATTAGGTAAATAAAAAGATAAAGAAATATATTTTAAAGAATATAATAAAAAAGCTTGCAAATAAAATTATAAATTAGAATGTAAAAATAATATTTGCGCGACTTTGTTGCCACTAAGCCGGTTCCTTCTCTCCGTAAGGACCTGGCCTGCTTTACTGAAAGTGCGCTCGGAAGGCACTGAAGTGGCAACAATACAAAGCCGTTTTAAAAATAACTTATAAAGCCTAGGATAGGCGTCCTTTTTAACGAACCACCACTTGGCAGGATCTTGGGACCTTGGCAGTAGGGGTTCCTCGAGGTATTTATCAACTTCGATAATACCCCCTGCAGTCGGATTAATATTTTTTATTATCATATCCACTTGCTCATCAAACTCATTCCATATGCTATGTTTACGCTTACGGGATGGCGACGAAGATGGCGGCTCTGATGTACATGTGCTTTGTATTTGAATTCGCCCGGCCATGGCTTTGATATTTGTACATGCTTTACTGTAAGCGTACTCATTCTCAAACCCATATTTTTTGAATCTTGGATCTAATATAGTGCTTTCAGCAAAAATATTATTCTCCTCAATGCACGAAAACCTTGTGCTAATTTCATTTAAAAGCACTTGGGTCATTCGTAAAACACAGTCCGGATGTGGCGTAGATAAAAATTTTTGGCATTTCTTTTTGAGGGCGTTTGATATAAGTATAACCTGAAATTTATAAAACACCTCATACATGAAAAAAGAATGTTAAAATTGAAAATACAAAATAAATGCGTTATCTATTACTTCACCTCTGATATTGTAACATTCTTTTCTGAACTCATCTCCTCAGTTACATCTTTGAAAAATGAAAGAATTTCTATTGCCGAATCCAAAACCTCAATGTCTTCAGAAGTCATATTTATAGTATCGGGATAATCGATAGCAATTGTGGACATAACACTGTTTTTAATTTTTAACACCCTTTCGAACATATCATACGTGGAGTTCCAGCGTGTGGAAACGTCTTGTTTTATCTTCAATAGGGGTTCATCTAGCTTCTTTTGCATATTTTTTAATCTTTCAGATGCAAGTGGACTTCTACGAAATAATTCGACAATTTGTTTAATTTTTGTAGTAATATCTTTTATTTCTTTTAATGCAGATTGGACTATAAGGTTAAGAGTATGAGCGAAACAAGGTATGTGCTTCAAATTATTAAGTCTTATAGCAGCTTTGATATTATAAGCGTTATCACTGATTGCTGCTACAATTTTGTCAGTAATTTCCCAATTATTTGTAATTCTTTTTAGTTCTAGTGCTAGGTTTTCTGAAGTATGTCTATCTGGAAACTGTATACATTCCAACAAAAAAGATTTTAATTCTGCTTGCTGATTGAAAAAATGTATTGTCACGGCTAAGTAATTATCATTGGGGGCTGATGTCCACCCATCGGTTGTAATGCACACATGTTCTGCTTGACAGAGTTCTGACTTAACCTTTTCTTTTGTTTGATTATAGACATTAGTCATCAATGCATTAGATAACGTCTTACGACTAGGTAACTGGTAGGCTGGATTTAATTCTTTAATAAAATCTTTGAGTTCAGGGGATTCAATGAGATGGAAGGCTAAGTAATTTTTTGTGAATAATTTTACCAGCATTTTGTTTAGATGTTCAGTTTTTTTAGCAGAAAGCGGTTTATAAAAGTACTGTGTTAGTTTCGTGTTAGTGGCTGGAGCTTTTTTATATAGGTTGGTGTTTTTAGTGGTGGCTGGTAAGAAATCAGATGTTTCAGGCATGACATAAGTTGAAGCAGTAGATGTGGAAGCAGTAGGCATCTCAAGTTCTGGTGCCTTCGAATCAGTGGAATGTGTTGTCAAATTATGGATTTCTGTTGCAGAAGAAGCTATATTTTCAATCGGACATTCACGTATAGCGACAAACACTTGTGGATGCTTGCTTTTTGTGTGTCTGATTAGGTTGTAAGCACCACCGCCTTTGTATGAAAATTCTTTCTGACAAAAATTGCATTTGGCTTTATCATTTTTGAGGTCTTTAAAAAACTGCCAAGCTTTTGAGGATTTTCTATCACCATCACCAGACATACTGCGCATGCAAAAAGCAAACAGAAAAAATGTCAAATAAAGTAAACATCTGAAAACCGTTATTAGCAGGGGATATTTTATTTATGTAGCCTGGTAACCCTTAAATAGGGTATCTATTTTGATTTGACATACCTACACAAATTATAAAGTTGTATGTACAAGACATAAACTTTGTTTGTTGACATAAACCCTGCCGCTGCCGCTCGCACCGCTGAGGTGTCTTGGCCAACGGACAATCGACATTCGCTAAAATGTCTTTTACTCAAATACTTTACTAACACCTATAACTATACAAATTTTATAGGTATCTTTTATTCAAATGTAGTCATAAACAAAAGTATCAACTCAGACGAATAAACATATTAAAACCATAACAAAATTAAAATACTAACACAAAGTAGCCATACAAGCAAAATAAATAAGAATTGAAAGTCATTCATAAATCATGAATTAATACAAAGACTTACATACCTGAATATATACCTAAATAAAAATATCTATTCACTTAAACTACACAAACGAAGTATCAAATTAAAAACTTTTGCACTGGTCACTGACTCAAGTACGTTACGATATTCAAAACACATATAAATGGAAAGAGTTCGTTGCAATGTGCGCCTCACAGTATTTATTAATATCAATGTCAGCAACATATTTCCCTCTCGCTCGAGATTCGAAACGCTGTCACGTAATGTTCATTTTAGAATGACGTACTATTCTAATTTGTAGCATGCATTTCGCTCCCTCTCTTTCCTCATAGTTTTACGCAGACGGAGAGTGAGTAAGGCGACTTCGCGACTGCCGCGACATAAAATTTGAAGTAGTACATTAAAAAATGCCGAGCCGCTCTTACATTTTGACGTCATGTCCGGGACAAATGTAACGCCTCTTGTATGTCCTACTCAACACTAGCATGGCATATTAACCCTTACGAATGAAAGTTACTTCATCATCAAGACAATTTTATGAAGATACATTTTGCTCTTTATAGCATGTTATTTGGACGCATAGGTTAAGAGATAATGAAAAATTAAAATAATGAACACTGCTCTGAGCGCGAACGACCGCATAAACCCTAGCCGCCCGATGAGATTCGAGAGAAACCAGCAGTGAACGCCTATATTGATCCTAGAGCTCATGACGCATTTTTTAAGAAGTGTTTGATGCATCATGAAACTTTGTCCATAATGCTTCTGGCCTACCCATTCAGTGTATTCACGTATACTGATTACATCAAAAGTGAGACATAGTTTTATATCAGGCTTCTTTTTTCTCATTTCTCTAATGGTGTTTAAAGATTCTTGAGTGAAACCAGGTTCACAGTCTAGTCTGGCATACCAGGTACGCAATGTGTTAACGTGTGGAAGACACAAATCAAACTTTTCACGTAAATAATTATATGCTCTTGGAATATAGAAATGTATTGTGACAGCAAATTTTCGTAATTCTTCGTTATATTTGGATTCAGACACTATTTTACCACATTTTTTATCATTAAACCTGTT